TCTGCAAATCTGAAAAGTTCCTACAAAATTTGAAATTGCTGATCGCGCGTATGTCGTGGAAATTATAAAATCCGTCGAATTAGTAAATCTGATTAGAATTTGTCTAAATTCCGTCGGTTTAGTAACTATTCTAATCTTTTTTATTAGTTCTACTAATTTAGTAGTAATATATATAAAAAAAGAAAAGTTCTAATAATCGACGTAGTAACGATAAGGTTCTACGACGACGAGTATCAACGTTAACTTAAATTTGGCTATAGAATTAAACGATTTAATAAAATTAATCGCGTGGGTAATACTCTAATATAGCGTATAATAATACGTATATTAATAATAATATATATTAATATCATATATATATAGAATAATACTTAGAGTGTATTAGAGTGCATTGCGCAAAATTTTTAAAGTTACTAAATTTTTTTAAAGTTATTAAACTGATAGAACTAACGAAAAGAGTTAAATATAGATAAAGTCTACTTAATAAACTAAATCGTACTAAATCGTACTTATAGTACGGACCCGGCGAAAATCGTATGGAAATTCACTTTTCAGATTTGCAGATATAATATTACTTTATACTCTTATATTATAGATAGTATTTAAGAAGCTAATAAGTATATAGATAAATTTCTTTAATAAATTATATACTTTATAAAGGTTTAGAGTATATCGCTTTTTTCTATTTCAGAAGGCTTTATTATAAAACTCTTCTTTAAACTTATATTGCAGTACGATATCTATATTATTCACCTTTTCTATTACTCTAAGAAAATTCTCTTATTTATTATTCTCTTTACTTTCTCGATAACGTTCTATCTTAGAAGGCTACTTAATATATTATTAATATAATTAAAATAATATAATTATAACTCTTCGTATATAATCGTAGATATATTCCTCTAAAACACCCTATTAACTAACTAAGGGACGAAAATTACTTATACTTCTATTATTAACTAACTTTTATAAGATAATCTTCAACTATGTCTCAATTAGTATTTATTAGAAATTGGCGTTATTATAGAAAATAAGATTATTTAATATAAGATTAAGAATATAGCGAAAGCTCTCGGAATTTATATATGTAAAGAATTGCTATCGAGTATCGAAGTACTAAGAAAGAATATCTCTTATCTAATTCGATTTAGATATATATACTCGTAGCTTTATATAATATTCTTCGATTAAGACTTCGAGGTATACTCGCCATCTTTTCGTTATATAATAACTACTATTATATCTAGAACGACTTTTAATATAGAGATAAAAGATCTCACGCCTCTATTTTTCCTTATTTGATATATAAGATATAACTATTAAGGATAGATAGGTAGCTAGGTGAAAAGATAGATAGAAAGATAGGTAGAAAGGATAACACACTACTATTGCGGAGAAGATAAAGCACCTTTCTCGAGCTACTTAGGGCTAGGGTTTCAAAAGCGAATTTCCGAGAATATCATAGAAATCAGGCCTTTTTGGTAGTGGGGTGTTCAGAGTAATCCACATATCCACAATTCATATATTTACAAAAAACCTAAATCCACATAAATCGTTCGGTTTTGTCGAGTTACTCTAAAAACCCCTAATATACATCTACGGAAAAATCAAGGTCTCGGCGCTCTAAAACGCGTTTACGGAAAAGCCGAAACAAGTCGTTTTCATCTTCAACGAGAGGTTGCCGAGGATTTGTGTGATGATCTCGTACATTGGATACGTCTTCAAGAAGAGCGATTCTTACAAGGGCTTATTAGTACCGAATTACAAGACGCCTTAGATTAATAGCGGCCGCTCAGCCTCAAATTAAGGATCAACTTGACTCCGAGACTTCGTTATATACGGCGATTCGGCATAGAGATCTTAAGGCTATTCATAAGCAACTTCGGTTTATAATTGATGATAGTTGTAAGGAATTTCTTCAGGGGGATTATAGTTATGATCTTGACGAAGCGAACGACCTCATATCGATCTAAAAAGGGATTTAAATTAAATAATTTAGAATTGGCGGGGACGCCCCCCCCGCCGGGGCGCCCCAGGGGGGGCGCACAACAAAAGCCCGGGGGGGGAGGGGGGTACCCAAATAAAAAAAAAAAAAAAAAATAATAATTAATATAAAAATTTTTCTTTTTTTTTTTCTTTTTTTTTTTTTTTTTTTTTCTTTTTCTTTTTCTCTCCTCTCCCCTCCAAATCCACACAAAATTACAACCCCCCAGCCCCCCCCACCACCAAAGAAAAAAAAAGGGGCCACCCCGCAATTTCGAATTTTTGAAAATCGCAAAACTACGGCAACCCATATGTACAAGTAAGATTACGCCTCTATTAGCCCAATGAGGCTTGGCAGGAGGTTAGCAGTGAAAATTGTTTTTGAGCCTTCTGCTCCTAGACACCTCCATAACTATTGAATAATAAGGTAAGCAATGTAGCTATACACCGTTTATCATCGCCTAGTCATGTCCTGTAACTTCATGATTGATTCCCCGCAGCTTTAGGCCGCTTCTGAATTCTAGCATACAGTCCCCTCTGAAAAAAGAACCATGAATTTTCAAGCTCGAACTTTTCCGGGTCCACGATGCGAATCTGTACCTTTGTAAGTTCACGGCAAGTGCGACGTTTGTGGAGTTGGGAATTACACCCACATCGTAGTTGAGAATGAGAAACGGAATTAGCTTCTTGATTTCCAAGATGCCTACGTGTCTTCCCAGGCAGATACGCCTGCCAGCACCAAACTTGCGATAAAAATATCAGCGAAAAGTGCTTGACGAGCGGAAGGCGAAACTTACAGTCAACATCGCCTGTTCGAGTTTCTTCTTATGCATTTCATCCTTTTCAAGCCACCTCTCTGGCCTCCAGAATTCGGCATCCTCACCAAACATCCCCTTGTGCCGATTCACGACGTAAGGACTACCGCCCACCGCTGTTCCCGCAGGCAGATAGTGTTCAAGGATCGTGACGCCACCTTTTGGCACAACGCGCTCAAAGGGTAGCGCGAAGGGTGGGTGCATGCGTATGCCTTCTTGGACGCAGGCATCTAAATACGGCAGATTGCGCACCTCGCTGTATTTGGGAAATGGGTGAGAGAGATTTGCAGAGCGTAGCTCGTCGTACAGCTTCTCCAGAGTGTGTGGGTAGACCAAGAGGTTGAACATTGTGGTGCGCATGAGGCTGCCCACCGAATCCGAGCCTGCGATCACGTTGGAGAAGGTCCATGCGGTAACGGCCCTGTTGGACTGTGGATCAATACGAGTCCAGTCTATTGCGTCGAGAGATTGGAGTCTTACCAGGGCGGTACTTCGGGGTCATTCTGCTGGAGCTCGATGTATCGAGTCAGAAAATCTTTCCCACGGCCATATTTGTCACCAGTATCCTTGTTTTCGCCATTGGACATAGTCCCTTGCTTTTCCCTGATGGCCCTGCCCACGAACCCGAGTATCCCAAGGGATGCCTGGACCCCGAACCTACGCTGGAATGCGTCCCCGATGCGGTTCTTGCGCAGGGCCCAGTCAAGCCAGGGAATTTGTGTCAGCTGCGCAAAGTTAGCTATATATGTATGGAGAGGGTGCCTCGACATGAGGGAGCAAATATCTCACTGGGGCAGAGCTCCTCATGAAGTCGACGATTGTACCCAGCATTCCCCCAACGTCTTTCCCAGTTTCCAGAAACCCGTACCTCTTCGAAAACGTCAATGTACCCATGACATCGAACGCGAAGAACTGCAGCCACTGGCCTAGATTAAAGACTTCACTATTCTCAATAAACTTTTCGTCGAGCTTCTCGCGCAAACACTCCAGGACTTCATCAACGCGACCCTCAAAGGAGGGTACGTTCGCAGGGGTGAACAAGGGCGCAATAGGGGTCTTGAGCCGTTTGTGCATGTCGTCGTCCTGAGTGTTGAAAATGGCCTGAAGGTTACCACCCTTTGGGGCATAGGCTTGGAGAGTCGCGTAGAAGGCACTCTGGACCGCTCAGGTAAATTCAGCATGTCAATGTGGGTTGAAAGGCTGGCAGTGAGAAAACGTACTTTCGGGAATCCAGTCCGTGCCGTATAAACAGTTGGAATCGCCTCCGGGTTACTGAATGCCACCGTGTTCGGTCCAATACGCACGACTTCTCCATATTTCTCGTGCATATCCTGGAGTATCAGGTGTGCACGCTTGGTTGTAACCCAACGAGCGCGCTGGAAGTTGGTGATACTGGCAGGGAAGGGTCCCGGTATATGCCTGAGGCGCCACCATGTTCGCCATAGCTGGAAGACGACGAGTAAAAGTAATACACAGGTAACAAGCGAGACAACAGGGAGGCTCCCTCCTACGGTGCCTAATATAGCCCCTCTAGAGCTCATTGCTTGCATAATAAAAGACTTTTTCTAAGTAGCAATCTCGTTCTAGGCACACACAAAAGCCCCCCGAACTGAAAGCAAGCTGACTAAGAGCAGCGCAGTACTTCACAGTACCACCGGTCGAGCCACTTCCGAAGAACAGCTCAGTATGTCAGGCAGTCAAAGAGATTATAGAAGATTTGAAAATCTGGAATGTTCACTTGAAACCCGCATTAAATCGACAATACTGCTGGGTGCCAAACAATGCGATAGAGCTTTTGAGACTTACTCCCCGGTATAGTAGTTTCCTTGGACCTATGCTTGCATGATGCATGTGCACGGACTGCATACGATGCATTTCAGCCTGTTACTTGGGTCCGCAGCTGCTGCTGCAGGAGCTTGAAGAAATTTAACCCGGGTCAGCAGTAGAGAAGCGGCGCCAAGTAAACCTTTCTTTTTGGAAACCAAGGCTGATTTGACGACGAGCCGCAACACAGTTACTGAGCTCGTCGTGTAGCGCCAGACGCACAGATAATCTAGGCCTAGATGGGGGGCATCATGCATTATATGGAGACATCCATCGACCATTCTTGCCGTAGCAAATAGCGCTAGCGGGAAAGATCTTGTCAACCGGCTGCCACCATCATTCAGGTACTCAACGTACTTTGGACGAGCCTTTGCGGTAATGACTTGCTTCAACGCCACTTCCAAGGGTTCCTCAAACGAATTTCGAATTGCCTTATTTGGACCACAAGTGACGAACTGGACACACAAAAGTCTTTCGAGTTTGCAGTTTGCCCTTCTGGAAGACCACAAGCTTGGCTTCCTCAAGCAGACTCTCACAGCATTACCCTCACTATGGTCCATGCTCAAGAAGGACTATGGCCTTCATGGCTTTTCAGGCGCCGAGAAGCTGCAAGAACTCCGGGATTTCGCAATGGGAGCCAAAGACCTAGACCCTGAGGATTTGACGAACACTCAATTATCGTCGCTCACGGTCGTGTCACAAGTCGTCAATTTCATTCGATTGACCGACGTCTCAGGCACAAAAGATGGTATTTTGGGCTTTGAGGCAGCTCAAGGGTTTTGTGTTGGATTTCTCTCGGCTGCAGCGCTTGCTTCCGCCAACGACTGGACTGATTTTGAATGCAACTTTTCCAACGCTGTTCGACTCGCTGCGTGCATCGGCATCATCGTGGATGCAGAAAGGGCATCGCGTCCTGCTCAAGAGAGAGCTACGGCCGTCCATGTTCGCTGGAAAACGGCGGAAGACAGAGCTTTCTTGGAAATCTGCCTGGATCTTTTCCCCGGGGTAAGCGGCCTTCTTTCACCCTGCTAGCATCGTTCTTCTTCGGCTTCAGCGTGGCCAAACGTTCAGAGGGGTAGTGATATCCACGAACGAGTAGTTCTCGACTTGATATGCTGTGGCCAAGCTGGCATTTTCAGCCTTCGGTAGATAGGGATGAGTGCCCAGGCTCCATGTAACGACTCGATCGACGAAGCGAGAAAGACTGGACCTGATGGTATCATAGAAGAAATTGCACTGACTTGACGAGATAGGCCTACGTATCCTGCATAACAGATGACAGGAGTATCACGATCACATTACCCAGTGGCAGTCAAGCGGCGTTCTGTCTGCGGATGCGCGAGGCCAAGATAGCCGCCACCACAATTGGCCTAAATGGATGCTATCATCATTCAAGAAATGCCGAAGCCGCTGAGAGGCTTCGTCAAATTTGCGCTAAGAACAGGGAACTTAGGCTGCCTGATGCAGAAAAGCTGCGCTTGCCCCTGAGATCTACTGCAGATGCTCATATCATCAATACTGGCGCCCTTCATGAAATCGCCATCCAGATGATCCTCTGCAAACGAGCCCACTGGTTCCAAACCGTCAAGTCGACGATGAACGACCTTCCCCAGGGCAAAGTCACATTTGTGCCTTTGGGCAGCGGACTCTGCGTACCTCATTCGCTCTCCACCAAGGACAATCACGCGAACTTTGCTTCGGATCACGACGACACGACCTCGCTTGAAGAGATCGCCGTCGTAGGAATGGCCTGCCGGTTCCCCCGAGCCGAAAATCTTGAGGAATTTTGGCAACTTCTGTGGGCAGGAGAAACTGCAATCGGCAAAGTACCCCCTGAGCGCTTTAACCCGGCCGAACTCAGCCGTGAGCCTAAGCTGGCCAACTTTTGGGGCAACTTCATTGATAGCCCTGATGCTTTTGACCATAGGTTCTTCGGTATCTCGGGCCGCGAAGCAAAATCCATGGATCCGCAGCAGCGGCTTGCGTTGCAGGTTGCGTACGAGGCGCTGGAGTCGTCGGGATACTGCAGCACGCCGCCTACTTCGATTGAAGCAGATGTGGGCTGCTATCTTGGCGTAGGGTCTGTTGACTATGAGGAAAATATTGCCTCTCATGACGCCAACGCATTCGCAGCTACGGGCACTTTACGGGCTTTCATTAGTGGTCGTATCAGCCACTTCTTCGGATGGAGCGGGCCATCTTTAACTTTTGACACAGCTTGTTCTTCATCTGCGGTTGCTATACATACAGCATGCAAGGTAAGCTAACAATTTCAGTAGTCCTCAAACGCAAGCCTGATACCACTACAGGCACTTCTCGGCGGAGAATGCTCCATGGCGCTCGCCGGAGGAGTCAACGTCATCACAAGCCCTACTCTGCACCAAAATCTCTCGGCTGCGTCTTTCCTCAACCCTCACGGGTCATCGCGAGCCTTCGATGCCGAGGCCAATGGCTATTGTCGTGGTGAAGGCGCCGGCATTCTCGTCCTCAAGACTCTTTCAAGGGCGATAGCCGATGGGAATACAGTTCTTGGAGTCATTGCTGCCTCGGCAGTCAATCAAGGCTCCAACCACACTAACATCACCGCTCCGGACTCACAATCCCAGAGTTCCTTGTACAAACGCGTACTTTCTGCCGCACGGATAGAAGCCAAGGAAGTCACTTACGTTGAAGCACATGGCACTGGTGAGGAAAACCCGTAGACAAACAGCCCTGGAAATTGAAGTTCCAGATGGTCCCACCTTGCTAACAGTTTCTGGTAGGAACTCCCGTTGGAGACCCTATAGAGTATGAGAGTGTCCGTCTGGCGCTTGCAGGTCCTTGGCGCGATGATGAGGTGTTCTTGGGCTCCGTCAAGGATAACATTGGTCACACCGAAGCTGCTTCTGGCGTTGCTGGCATCGTTAAAACACTCTTGATGATGCAGTACAAAACAATTCCAAAGCAGGCCAACTTCGTATCCCTGAATCCACGCATCAAGGCTTCTGCATCGGGAGAGATAATAGTGCCCAAGGTTACCCAGTCGTGGACCGCTCAGCGCCATGTTGCGCTGGTGAATAATTACGGAGCTGCGGGAAGCAACGTGGCGCTTGTACTTCGAGCGCACTCAAACCCCCTCTCGAGCTCAGCACCAGAAACAACCCTAGGGACTCAAGATTGCCCGTCTTCCTCCTCTGTCGTCAGCCCGATTCTTCTCTCCGCCAGGACCGTAAATGGCCTCCAATCGTACATGGATAAGCTGAAGTCGTATCTGCCCAAGGTCGAGACTTCGCTTGGAAGTGTGGCGTACAAGATAGCTCGAAGTCATAATTCGTCGTTCGAGCACCGGATTGCATTCATCGCAGCTGATGTGAAGAGTGCCATATCTGTCCTTAACAGCTCAAGCGCGACGACGGATGGAATTGCGATACGGACGGCCAAGAATCCTGTCGTGTTGTGCTTTGGCGGCCAGACAAGCTGCAACGTTAGCGTCTCGATAGAGCTATATGAGCGCTGCGATCTTTTCAGGACCCGTTTGGTGAGAACAGCATCCTCTTCAAAGTTCTGACGTGATTGAATCATACAGTAGATGCTGATTGATCCCGATACAGGATGAATGCAACGCTGTTTGCCAGACTCTCGGCCTCCCCAGCATCTTCCCCAGTGTTTTCCTGGGCGATGCCATCGGAGATATCGTTTCTCTTCATTGCATGCTTCTGTCTTTACAAGTCTCTTGCGCCAAGTGCTGGATTGATTGCGGACTGGAGGTGGACACGGTGGTTGGTCACAGCTTTGGACAACTCGCGGCGCTATGTGTTGCCGATTCCATTTCTCTCAAAGATGCATTTCTCTTTGTCTCGGGTCGGGCTCGCCTTATCCGAGATAGTTGGGGTCTAGAGCGTGGCGCTATGCTGTCAGTCGAGTGCGACAAAGGGGAACTCGAAGCCGTGGTACGTCTGGTGAATTCGACGAGCGGTCTTCACGTCGATGTTGCATGCTACAACGGTCCTCGCAGCTTTGTTCTTGCCGGTGACGGGCCATCCGTAGAGAGGGCCGAGAAGGAATGCCGGTCCTTCAAGAAAACCAGGCTTCGAAACAGCCATGCATACCATTCTTACCTCGCAGATGACATTTTGGATCATCTAGCAGAAGTGGCTAAACTGATCAGGATACGACCGCCTCGCATCCGCATCGAGACCTGCTCTGCCCAAGGAACCTGGTCGCGATTCACTGCAGAAAAGTTGGTGCAGCATACCCGGGAACCAGTCTACTTTGCCGATGCGGTTGAACGGATCGCCTCCCGCTTACCTTCTGCTATTTGGCTCGAAGCAGGATCATCGTCTCCCATCATTGCCATGACGCGTCGTATAATAGCTTTGAAGTCCGGCAGGTCAGACGTCTTCATACCCATGGAGCTGGGAAGAGCGGATGCCACGACAAACCTTGCCAAAGCCACATGCCAATTGTGGACGGCCGGGTCAGCTGCGCAACACTGGCTCTTCCATCATTCTTCACGACATTGCTACAGGAATCTCAACCTTCCACCCTACCAATTCGACAAGACGAGCCATTGGATCCAGTACAAGCCCAGGTCTGGGCCTAGGACCAAGGAAGCCCCTAGTCTTGTGACCTGGTTGAACAATGATGGCGCTACTGCCGGAGAGCATCTTTTCGCGGTGGATACTTCCAATGCTCTCTTCGAGCTCGCTGCACGGGGACACGCTGTCACGGGCCAGAGCCTCTGTCCGGCATCCATGTATATCGAGTTGGCGGCTAGATGCGTCATGGCGATGCAACGCACCGACACTACGCATGCAACCGGAACACTGCCACATATTGAGGGCTTGACCATGTCAGCGCCACTGGGGCTAGGAGCCGGGATTGCCGTATTCCTACGTCTCCATAAGACTGCGCCAGAAGTTTGGGATTTTGCCGTCTTTAGCCGGCCATCATCTTCTCATGGCCCAGGGCACGTGGGAGACAGAGAAACTGAGCATGCGAAAGGATGCATAAGCTCGGTTGCCGCCGACGAGGCCGTGGTAGAGAGGCTGCTGAAGTTGCTGCAAAGATCAAGCACATATCGCCTTCGGAATTTGCCCTCAGCCACTGGAGTAAGTGGCACAATGGTGTACAAACTCTTCTCGGACGTCGTTGAGTACGCAAGCTACTACCGGGGAGTTCAAAGCGTGTCTGCTTCAGGAAACGAGGCGGTTGGCCTTATCACAATTCCAACGGACCGGCCCTCTTGCATGGATGCAAGTATCTGCGACATCATTTCTGTTGACAACTTCCTCCAAGTTGCAGGCATCCATGTCAACTGTTTGTCCCAGCGGGACGACGACCAAGTCTTTATGTGCACCGCAGTGGAGGAAATCATATTTTCTGCTTCCTTCATGACAAGCAGAGGCGATTCTCGTGCATGGACTGTTTACACCCGTTACGAGCCAATTTCCAAGGTCGACGTGACCAACGACATCTTTGTTTGCGATTCAAGCTCCGGAATTTTGGTGCTGGCCATCATGGGCGCCAAATTCAGGAGCATCCCGCTCAAGTCGGTGGCGAGAAGCCTCACCAGACTGAATAAAGCCCCCACCACCACTAATGTAGTAGTAAGTCTACACTCAGACAATAGCGACGATCTGCACGACTCGGCATACCAAACAGGATTTCCTTCTCCGTCGGGCGATGGCCTCCAGAAAGAGCTTTCCAAACATACCTCTGATTCCCCAGTGCGACAGGTTACCGCGGAAGCGTCCCCTTCTCAAATAGTTGCGATCCATCAGCAGCAACTGGAACAGCCAACCAAATCTAGCAGCCTAGTTCAATCGGTATGCAGCATGTTCAGCGCCATACTGGAGATACCCGTCGAGGAGATCGAGCCCACGGCAAGTTTGGATGACCTCGGCGTCGACTCACTGCTGGTTACCGAAGTCCTCGCAGAAGTCGAAACCCGTTTCTACGTTGGTCTCGCACAAGCACAACTCATGAATTGCACTGATGTACGCTCGGTCGCCCGACTAATCCAAGGTGTCGACTCTACACAGAAGCACCGAGAGCCCATTGACGAGCTTGTGGAAGAGCAGGAACCCGAAGACAATCTTGCCAATGGCTACCCCTTAGGCTCTGTACACGAGGAGAGCCAGCAGACTTATGACCACCATGAGAGCCGCCAGGAGCAGGAGGAGTATGCGAATCTGGCTGTCGTGAGCTGCGATTGCTTCGTCGATGCCAAAGCTTCGTACGACCACCACGCCGAAATTACGGGCTTTACGGGCTTCTGCGCCGAGGTCTTCCCCTTACAGTCTAAGCTCGTCGTGCAGTACGTCGTAGAGGCCTTGGCTTCATTAGGCTGTATCCTGCAGGCACTAAAGCCTGGCGATGAAGTGCCTACATTCCAGTTCGAACCTAGACACGAGAAGCTCGTTCCCCAGCTGTACAAGATGCTGGAAGATGCTGGTCTTGTGACCAAAGGGGCGGACGGAATATGCCGCCGCACCAAGGAGCCAGTTCCCACGGTTTCTACATCCGCGCTGCTCGATGAAATGCTATATAAATTTCCAAAGCACGCTTCTGAGACGAAACTCCTCCATACAACAGCTCACAGACTGGCGGATTGCCTCTCGGGGCTGGCCGATCCCCTGGCTTTGCTGTTTCGTGACTCGACAGCACGCACACTGCTGGAAGATGTCTACACGAACGCACCTATGTTCAAGACGGGGACCCTGGTCCTTGCTCAGTACCTATCGACGGTTCTGGAGCGCGTCGGGACCAGTCGCGAGCTTAAGATTCTTGAGCTCGGCGCCGGCACTGGAGGAACATCAAAACACGTTATCGAGACGCTGGCCGGGCTCGGCCCCAAGTACAAATTCTCGTACACATTCACCGACCTGTCTTCCTCGCTTGTCGCGACTGCCCGCCGCAAGTTTTCCAAATGGCCGTTTATGCACTACACGGTGCTCGACATTGAGAAAGACCCGGGCCCGCAGTTCGTGGACGTCTACGACATTGTTATTTCGACCAACTGCATCCACGCAACGAAGAGCCTCATGCAGTCATGCGCCAACATCCGCAAGTTGCTGCGCGCAGACGGGATCCTGTGTCTGGTAGAGCTGACACGGAACCTGTACTGGTTCGATCTTGTGTTCGGTCTCCTTGAAGGCTGGTGGCTGTTCGATGACGGCCGCGAGCACGCCCTAGCGGACGAGCAGCGATGGAAGCAGTCTCTGCATGCTTCTGGGTTTGAGTGGGTAGATTGGTCCAATAGTCTGTCAGCAGAATCCAACATCTTGCGCGTCATCACGGCTTCTCCATACGAATTGGCTCCATATGATATCGATTCTAGGCTCGTTCTGGGCAATAACAATGAAGCGGACGGCAGCAGCGACCACAATACACTCAAGGACACCTTGACTTTCAAAAAGGTAGATGGTCTACATCTTCTAGCAGACATACACTACCCTCCAGAGGTAGTCGAGCTCGGGAAAGTGCTTCCTGTAGGTTAGTAGTAGCATTGATTGCTTTATTGTCTTCTGCGGCACTAAGACCCAGTGACACAGATAGAGCTCTCAGCTGACAGAGTGATATCTTATCAGCTCTCATGATTCACGGAGGTGGTCACATCATGCTTTCGAGGAACGATATCCGGCCGGAACAAACAAGCAAGCTCTTGCGAAGCGGCTTTCTTCCAATCAGCATCGACTACAGGCTCTGTCCTGAAACGACGCTCATTGAGGGACCCATGGCAGACGTTGCCGACGCATTTTTGTGGATCCGCACTGTTCTCCCGAAGCTGACACTCTCACGGCGTGACATCCGTGTTGACCCAGACAAGGTCGTGGCTGTGGGCTGGTCCACAGGGGGCCACTTGGCCATGACGCTGGCCTGGACCTCTGCAGCACGGCAGATCCGACCCCCGGAGGCCATTCTGGCCTTCTACTGCCCCACAGACTACGAGGACCCTTTCTGGATCGCACCCAACGTCCCTGCCGGCGCTCAGACTACAGACACCGACATGACCACATCTGACTCTTACGACTTGGATGGCCAGATACTGGAGGGTCTGTTCGATTCTCCCATCACGAGCTACAGCATCCCGTCCAAGAAACGCGCACTGGGCGGCTGGCTAGCACCCAGCGATGCACGTAGTCGGCTAGCACTGCACATGAACATGCACGGGCGCACACTGCACGTCCTGCTCGGCGGCCTACTCACGCTCGACAAGAAGAGCTGGAAGATTTCGGACGAGCCGCCAACGCCCGAACGTATTGCGGCTGCCAGTCCACTGGCGCAGATCCGCGCAGGCAATTACGCTGCGCCGACATTCCTTATCCACCCCCGCAATGACGATCTGATCCCGTGGCAGCAGGCCGAGCGCACCTGGCAGAGGCTGCGGGACATAGGAACGATCGATGCGGAGCTCAGAATTGTTGAGAACGTGCCGCATTTGTTTGATATATATCCCGAGCATCACGACAATGAGGCGGCCGCGCAAGCGATAAGAGAAGGATACCAATTTTTGTGTAGATATGTTGGTTTAACGTGGCGTGAATAATGTAATGCAATGCAGACCATCTTTATCATAGAGAAAAATTGTAGGTAAATGAGATGCCCGTCTACCTACCCCAATTGTTTAGTAATTCGAGTTACCGCTAAAGGGTTAAATAGGGGTGTTTGCACTTCACGCTGCAGATACCCCTAAAGGGCCCCGTAGGGCCCCCAGTGGAATAATTCTTAACACCAACCCGCCCTATAGATGGCAACTTACAAATTCATACCCCATTGGGGTATGAAAATGTACGATGGGGTATGAATTTGTAAGAATCCCATAGTTTGGGGTATGAATTTGTAATTTGCCCCCCATACTGGGTTTCAGGTACGGGGAATCGTTGCAGATACGGTTCGAAAGGAATGATCTGCAAGTGCGATTCGGTTTGCATTGTAGTCTAGGTGGGGACAGAGCGGTCATATGCCCCTGAATGTTTTTCATCATAGATTCGTTGCGATGCCCTCTGCCTAAGTTGACACCTTCATTGGTGAATGTAGCCTAAAGATCACAGTTGAATCCTCTCAGACCATGTCGGTATTCATGCCTTTAGTGAGAAGCATCTTCAAATCGATTCCATGACGCACTGCTAGTAAGCTCGAGTGCACTAATTCTGCAGTCGGTTGTAAGGCATCGATCAATTGTCTACTTCTCTACAGACTGCCTATAGACCTGGGCGAGTGGTCAAGCGGAGGAGTGACTAGGTCGTACACGAACGATGAGTCAAACACATCTTTCCCAGGCTCGTCCAGTACCAAACCAATCCACATGAGAGGCTTCAAAATGTCTTGCATATCACTCCATGATTCCACCTCGCCCAGGTCGATGTTGACGCGCAACCAAGGCTTCAACCACTTGTCGTCGGCGCACCCAAAGACCGACACAGCTCCAACCATGAGAAGCCAAAGCAGAAGCCGAGAAGGAATACTCTCAACTCTCAACTCGGCAAGGCATTCTCTGTACGTAGTGGCTAGGTGATCATAAGACATCCCAAGTTGTTTCCACTGGAGGAAAATGCTAGATGAGAAGGCGAAAAGACCTAGGCGGATAGCTTCCTCAGTAGAGCCTGCTTCGAAGTGAGTCATATCGAGCAGTCGATATATGACTGAAGCCATGGTGTCTAGGAAAGTTTCTGTAGCGATTCGATTCTTGGATTCGGCAGCGAGATTGATCATTAGACAAAATCCGGCCATGACCCTCCAGGCTCTTGCGAGCTCGTCATCTATGTCGCGAAGGAAGATCTCCGAATCGTATTGAGTCTTTCTTACCGTAGTCTTCAACATCGACTTGAACAGCAACGTCTGGTCCGGATACGGTAGAAAAGGCTCTTGGGAAGAAGATTTGTTGAAGAACAACGGTCTTGAGCCACTGTGAAATGATATCCCTATGTCGCACCTGCAGGGCAATTAGAAGCTGTCTCCTATTCAATCACGGGAAACACCGTCCTGAGATGTGGCTCGTACCGGAGGATTTCAACCAGCAATTTTGCATTGTCGCTGAAGGTGGCTACGCCTCCTCTCAAGCTGACTATTTTGCGAAGACCTCCTAAATGATGCTTAGCGGACTCGGAATCACCCACGAAGTGTGCATGCGCAGCTAGGGCTAAGATCACAGATACCGTGGGGGTCGTAAGAGCCTGGTCATTCTCATGTAGTAACCTTTCGCGGAGAAGTCGGAGTGTCCTCAGATAGTGCGGCAACGTCTGCTGGCTCATCGTGTAGCGGTTGCGATGCCGCATGGAGTCGAAATAGTCTAGTGTTGTGAAAATCATGGCGTTGAGGAAGGCCGGGTCAAATGTCAGAGGCTCCATCCATGCTTCCTCCCTTTTCTCGAAGAGTATGCAAGAATCCAGGGGGAACAATGTTTGTTTAGCGATGGAAGAGACTGGTGTGACGATGGATTATGTGAGCAATGTACACAGCAGACCCCGACAGCCTTGAAGTCCAATATATTTGGGAAGGGTGGGGGTGGGGGAGGGAAATCAACTCACAGCGCAGAAGGAACTCCACCTTGGAAGGCTCTACAGCGTCGGCAAATCGAATTGTGGATAGATCCGAGCCGATTTTTGGAGGGATGACAGAGTGAGACGCCGTGATGAAGGATGCTGATGGCGCACCCAGATCTTCATCGGGGCTGGATTTGTCTGCTACATTGCTCGCCTCTCGCCTTCTTGAGCACCGAGTCTTCCCCTGGTTCTTTCCCAACATCACATGACTCCTGATGAGCTTGCGCACCTCTGGATCAGGCTTTTCTACACTAGTCGATACCACGAAAGGCATCCCTGCTACTCAACGAGACAGTTAAGATCAAGTATCACTCGACACTACCTTGGCCAGAGAGTTACTCACCCGAGCGCTTTAGAGCAGTCATGTAGTCAAAGCGTTGGCCCGAATGCCAGAAATGGACATCGGCACAGTGTTGAGAAGTTCGGGTGTGACTTTACAGCAGCACAGCGCGTGGAGCGCGTAACTTGGGTACCCTAGTCTACTCTAATCCTTTCTCGGCTTAGGTCAATTAAGGGCTGCATACAATATGCTGAATCAAGGGTGATGGCACGTCACGTGACCAGATCTCTAGCTTTGAGGTGAGTACGGCGAGTCAAAGCGATCAAAAGAGCCGAAGAAAGGTGTGTGGGATATATGCAGACGCGCATCGATCTGCATTATTATTCTCCGCTCACTGCAGCCTTACAAATAATGTTCGGTAGGTACTTAGGATCAATCATTTCTTTGTAATACTTTAACCGAGGCAAGAAAAAGGCGTTAAGGATCTTAAGCCTTACCTTACCTTACCTTACCTTAGAGTCGGGCCGGATCTGGTGCAGCAGCTAGCGGACACTAGCTTAGCACCTCGGGAGTGGCGGCTGAGATTGTTTGCCAATTTGAGCATAGCGTTGTTATCATCCCCAAGACTAGATTGTATGCTGTTTTGGGGATAAGGTAGTCGAATGGAAGTAGCCACCATTTGCCTTAGATTACTATTGTATTCCTTTCTGAGCATAGCATCAATTTCATCGAGTTTGAAATGATTAAAATCCCGGTACCACTTAGGGGAACCCTGTCATGTGACTCGGGCCAGCTCGAACAATTCCCTCACTTACCTTGAAGTAAGGAGACGGCAAGCTGCCTAATATACACTTCCATAACAACAATTCTAACCATTACTCCTCTTTCACCCTCACTCCTGCTCCAAAAGTTAATACGATCACCACTTCAACCAACATGGTCGGCTCAAAGGACCTGCAGCCTTCAAACGCTCGTTTTTTTCCCAATGTCTTCTTTCACAATCAATTTCGTGCGAAGCCTGAATGGCCATCACAAACCACCAACCTCTCCGACAAGGTCGCCATCATCACCGGAGGCAACGCTGGACTCGGTCTCGAGGCCGCCAGCCAACTCTTGTCATTCAAACTATCACACCTCATCCTTGCCGTGCGTTCGACTAAGAAAGGAGAAGCCGCTGCCAAACAACTCCTGTCGCAGTACCCCAAAGCAAAAATTGAGATATGGCCGCTGGATATGAGCTCGATGGATTCCATCCGGGCTTTTGCTCGACGCGTCGATACCGATTTATCTCGCCTGGACATGGTTGTCCTCAATGCCGGCGTACGCAAGCTTTCCTTCGATACCGTTCGTAGCACCGGCCACGAGGAGACTATCCAGATCAACTACTTGTCAACTGTGCTACTCACCATCCTTCTACTTCCTAGTCTCAAGAGCAAATCTCCCCCCGGGGCGGCAGGTCGGTTAACAATTGTTAACGCCGCACTTGCTCTCGCTGCCAAGTTTCCCAATCGGAACGAAGTGCCCCTCCTGCCATCCTTCGATGACCCCAAGTACTTTGACCCCATCGATCGCTACAATTCGTCCAAGGTCCTTGCGCACATGTTCCTCTGGAAACTCGTCGACTATGTCTCGGCCAACGATGTTATCGTGAACCTACCAGATCCAGGCTTCGTCAAGGGCACAGACCTGACCCGGGACGCCCGCGGGGGGCAAAAGGTAGCCGCCGCACTCTTCGGCGCGATCACTGGTAGAACTAAGAAGGATGGCGCCTCGACGTATCTGGACGCTCTTGTGAACAAAGGATCGGAGTCCCATGGATGTTTTATCATGAGTTGGCAGATCCACCCGTAAGTTCTCTCCATTCCCGCAACCCACTCCCGGCTCTGGCTAAGACGCAAAACACTGTTCAGATTCGCCGGCTTTTTATACACACCCGAGGGAAAGGAGATTACAGAAAGACTCTGGGAGGAAACACTGAGCGAATTTGATTTCGCTGGTGTTCGTGGTATTCTGGATTCCATGAAACAAACGTGAATGGAGGAAGACTGTGGTAGCAGCTCAAGACTTTCCGCAGCGATGGATTTCGCTCGTGGGTAATCGGTCGATCTCTGAGCTGGGTGAAGGGCGATAAAACCTGGGGATCCACGGCAGTGCCCATCAGCTACGAGTAGGCGTGGACGGCTTGTAGAATGTACCTAGGTAAATTACTATGCGGTTCTCTTACTGAACTAAATACCTGCTACTACCTATGCCACGCATTGGTGTGCGGTTGGTTCCCTTTTTCTGGGCGGCCTTCCGGGTGCATCCTACCCAGTAACACGTTCCCTCTCCGTCCTTTTCCTCCTTGTTTTCCTCACTAGCTCCTAATTTTCGTCATTGCGCGCTAGCATTTCGCTAAATGCACATTGCTCATCTTCCCGCCGCTGCTGTTCTTGCCGTCGTTGAGTCAGCTCATCTTACTTAGCAAAGATTGCTTGCCTTAAGGGCCTCGGCTACCTAGCTAGCCCCCAGCCTAAAATAAATGGGTCCACACCAATGCGTGGGATGATGGGATCGACGGGTCTTGGGCCGAGACTAGGGCGGTGCTAAAGGCCACTCCGCTGCGGGAACTAGCTATATGACATGCGAAAAATCATCCCTGACCAGGAACATATTCCTGGTGCCAACAACGAGAGAGTGACATTACTCAGCCTTTGAACACAATCGCCTCGGAACTTGCGGTGTGTAAACAGGCCGGCGCTGAATATCTTGAGCTGTTCTTGCGATTAGGTCTCACCATGTGCATAAAGGATCAGTATCTGTGCCGCCTCCCATGCAATATGCCGACGTTCCTTCGTGGGCCAAGAGCTGACGAAGCTGACAAACACAACCCGTGAAAACATGCTCCACACCAGCAAGGATTCCCACTTCGAAACCAACTCCTGCTGCCTCTATATTTCGAGAAAGCAGGCCCAGGTTCCCCCTTCTCTCCAAATTATCAGTAACCATCCATCAACTTGAATTCCTTCGGAGAGGCAGTGCGGGTTCCAATGACATGGCCCGCGTGAGACGCAAGTGGACGGCAGAGGAGGATGCTCTCCTCCGATCAGCTGTCAAGACCGGTGAGTCCCAAATTCGGCTCCTGATTTCGAACTCGAGATATCTACCTAGTCTCCCCTAGAATAGATGCACACCCAAAGAAAAACGATTTGGTTCGCTGTTGTCTAGTCTAGGGGAGAGTCCGTAGTTCTCTCTCGCCTCCATTATCCCATGATCCTAATCCTGCACAGCTCAGGCGGAATCGCGCCCGCTACTGTGGCGGAAGTTGGCAAAGTGTGTACCTGCACGGACGAACAAAGACTGTCGCAGAAGATGGTGGAACAGTCTCGCAAATGGCACGGCCAAGGGCTCATGGTCCGAGGAAGAGGACGAACGGCTCATTGCAGCTGTTCGCAGGCACGGGACGAATTGGATAAGGGTCTCATGCGAGGTTGGGTCAAGAAGCCCCGACCAATGCTCCAGCCACTGGAGCCAGGTGCTGGACCCGAACATCAATTATTGTGATTGGACTGCAGAAGAGGTTCCAGCTACATCCCGAATTTAGGTACATTCTTGTTCTGTGGTCACTGACGGCTCTCAGGACGCGAACCTGCTACATGCAGTTCTCACCTACGGCACCAACTGGGCAACTATCGCATTTTCGCATCGTCCCAGCAGGACCACGCTTGCTCTCAGGAATCGTTACTCGACCCTGCGGCTACAAAACAACAACGACAAGAACAAGGCAAATGCAGATACCACTGAGAAGGCACACAAGGATCTCCCGGCTATCTCTGAGACTGCCATGGCGACCTCTACGAAGGAAGTGGACTGGAACATGGAAGCCCCAAGATGCTCCAGTTGGATTGAAGGTGACAGGGTAGCTCAGTCAAGCGACGAAGAGGACGGAGACGAAGATGACGGAGACGAGGATGAAGACGAGGACAACGAGGACGGTGAGAACGAGGACGAGGGGCTCCATCAAACTAGCCACATTTCCCGCATGGAAGTCATGCCCAACTCCCAGGGAGCAAATCATGACACCGGGGCGAGGAGCATTCAGATCCCAGATTCAAACCTTACATCATGGGACACGTGGGCCGCGCGTAGTATCGTCTCTGCCAATTCCATGGATGATAAGGCGCAGCCCATCTCCACGGACAACTCGGCGATCGACAGGGCGAATCACATGCAATACCAGACTCTATTCGGGCTGAACAGCCCTTCTCAGTACCCGACACCAGGGGAAAGCTACTTCTACAGCGTTCCGGAACCAGGCGTAACGAACACGAGTTTGCCGAAAACCATATATGGTAGATCTCTGCTGCTCCACTTCCCCTTATCCGAATAAACCCATTAACACTCTCACTGATTTGGACGTAGACACCAGTCCCATAGATATAAACCTCACCACTTCGCTGAGCACCTTTCACACCCCGTCCCAGCCCGCGACGGCCCCACCTACCCTCAGCAATATGACAGGAGCAGAAGCAAGTCCTGCTCAGGCTTCTTCAGCGGACATGGCTGCCAGCAAGAGCACAAGTATAAGCGCGGGCACGAGCCCCAGTACGAGTCCCTCGACTCAGAGCTTAGACTTTCAATCGACAATTATGTATCAGGTATCTATCAGCATGGCGTGCACACGCGCACAGTTGGACGCCAACATGGTCCTTCTAGTCGGCATGGGGACAAGTGTGACGATACAGATTGATAAAAAGTCATAGATGATAGAGCGTGGGCAACAATACTATAGATCGTTTCTCAAGACAGAGAAGAAAACCCAAATACCCAATGATGTGATTGAAGATGGATAAATCTAGCTTCAAATACCGCGTAGCGTGACCCTCGAGTCGAGTGTTAAACCCAGCTCGCGAGCGACCGTCAATCGGAATCTAAGAGTCAGAGTTGAGCTAGATCTACAACGATCACTTGACACTCACTACCTACTTATATAAATCTAGCTAATATAAAATAAAAAGCGAGGTTATCGAGCGAGTCGAATTGGATTTTCAATCGGGTTGTTAAATTTATCGAATGAAAGAGTTTACTCATTTCTATTTATTAACTAAAGTTAATTTTTTTATTTTAAATCTTTAATTTTAATTAATAAATAATAGCTATATATATTATAGTAAAGTATCTCTATATAATACTTTCGCGTAGAAATTATCTTAAATAATTATTATTTAAGATTATAAAACTTAAGCGTTTAACTTTATAAAGCTATATTTCTAATAAATACTCTTAATATAATAATCTAAAAAAATTAACTATATAAAAATTGCTTTTTTCGATTTTTCGATTTTTAAAGAATTATAATTTTATAATCTTATTATAAATTTATATTTTATTATATATTTAAAAAAGACTTTAAGATTATATTTAATTTAAAAATTTATTAATATATAATATTTATCTTATATCTAGAAGAGATCTCTAGATTTTAACTTATTTACTATTAAAATATAATTCTAAAATATCTTATTAGAAGACTATCTCGTAAAAGTAAAGCTATAGTTAGAATTAAATCTAGAGCTAAAGTAAGTATTTAATCTAGATATTTATTACTAAGTAGTCTACGCTCTTAGCGTATAATAGCTATATTTATTATAACTATAATTATCTTATTTAATATTAAATATATATTAAAATACGCGCTATAATTTATACTCTTTAGAATTTAAACTAATTATCTTAATATAAAAGTAATAAGTAAAGGCCTATAAATTAAATTTATAAAGTTAGATTTTTCTAAGTTAAATCGACTTTTAGTATTAGAACTAGTATAGATACGATATTAGTATAAGTAAGATAGAATAGAATAATAAGACTATCGAACTATATAGATGAAAAGAAGATATAATATAGTAGAAGATGCCTTCGCTAAGGTTCGCTAGTTATAGAACTAAGAGCTAAGTAATATATTAAGAATACGCTCGTAATATTTAGCTCTAGCTCTAAGTTAAATCGAACTCTAATCGCTTACTATACGTTTTTAATCTACTTTTATTATTATAATATATAGATATATATATATAAAGAGAGATACGCTAAGATCTAATTAGAAAGATATATCGAGTATAAAAAATTAATCTATAATAATTATCTATAAAAAATAGAGAAAGGCTATATTCTTATAGTAAGAAGTATTAAAATATCGGAAAGAAATGGAGATAATATATTAATTAGTAATGTAAATCTTATATTATCTTCTACCGTAGTAAAATCTTTCGAATAATAAAATAGCTATTAGAGTAAGATATCGGACGATTTTAATTCGTTTAAATATATATTATTTCGAAGTAATAATTTGATGTGAAATCGTAAAGAGTATATAACGTAGGATCTTAGAGAGTTAAGTCGTGTTCTTAACGATAATAGTCTTATTACCGCTTAGTTTCTTTATAGTATTCTCTATAGTATTCTTCGTAATATTCTCCGCATTTATCTATTATAGTTTCTTCTCTTACTTCTTAATATAATAGAGATAATAGACTAAGTTATAGTAATATTCTTCGCTTACTAAGTAATAATTTAATATAGAATCGTAGAGAGTATATAACGTGGAATCTTGAAGAGCTAAGTCGTATTCTTAATACTAAGAGTCTTATTACCGCTTAATTTCTCCGTAGTATTCTCTATAGTATTTATTAGGCCTAATGCGTTATGGATCTTAGCGCTACTTACGCTAAGGCGTTAACATCGTATATTCTACGTTAGAGTTTCTTTTAGAGTCTAGTTTTAATAATATATCTTATATACTTAAGAGCTTAACGAATATAGATTTACTTTATATATCTTAAAGTTTTAATATTTCTTAGAGATTAGTTCTATTATTAAATATATTATTAAATTTTATAATAATATTATATCTTTTATAATCTATATTTACTAACTAATTATTAATAAACTACGCCTTTATAATTCTAATCTCTCTATCTTTTAAAGAAAAAGATCTATTATTATTATAATATTAGATTTATCTCTAAATTATATAGTAAAAAATAAAGATAATATCGAGAGTCGCTATAGCGCCGATAATAAGTTTAAAAATTTCTTATTAATAAAAGATTTTATTATAAAATAACGTCTTATAATTACTAAAGTCGAAAATTATCGCTTAAAATAAGAATATAAATTAACTACGTTAAAGATCTATAATCGTAAACTTTATAATATTAGCTTATTATCTATAACTAGTAAAAAATTATTTATATTAATTATTATTATATCTTTAGCGAATATATTAATTAAAGCGAAAATACTTTACTTTAAAAGAATATATTCTTATAAGAATATTAATAAGAGAGAGTATCTACGCTAATTCCGCGAAGTCGAAATTAAGTTTCTTATAAATTCTAAATATTTTATTACTAATTAATTAAGAATTATTTATTATATATAATTCTTAGAAAACGATCTTAATATTTAATAATATAAATATTATTAAATCTATAATCTAAGAGATATAACTTTCGAATTTTTTAAGTAGTTTTTATTTAATTTAATAACGAATCTAGTAAATCGTTATCTTCTTATATATAAAAAGTAAAAAAAAACTAAATAACGCTTTAATTAGAAGATATTTATTTTTAAAATCTATTTAAAGAAGCTAGAGGCCTATATAATCTTATTTTCTAAAAAATATTAAATTAATTTCTTCTTAGCTAAGCTTAAATTAGAGTTTAAAAATAAGATTCTAAATACTAATAATATATCGAAATAACGAAAAGAAATTCTTACTTAAATTATTATATAGAAAAAGATTTTAAAATATATATACTTCGATAACGATTTTTATTTAAAGTCTTTAAGAGAATTCGCTAAGGATAAGTCTTTAGAGAATCGAATTTTAAAGTCTAAATTAATTTTAAATAGCGACGCTTATATAGCGCGTATTTAAGACGATAGCGTAAAGCGTAAAGTCGAATTCTTTAACTCTAATTATAAGAAGAATAGTTATTTTTATTATAAAAAATAGAATTATTAAATATCTAAGTATTTAAATTTTAATAAATTATCTATAGCTTATATCGGCGTAGTATTAATAAAAAAAGATTTAGTCTTATAATCGTCTTAAAAGCGAAGTAAAAACGACGATTAATAGAGGTAATTTTTTCTATTCTTATAAAGAGATAAATAAAGCTTTAAAATAAATAGAGGTAACTCGTTACTCTACTTAACACTAAAGTATATATTAATTTAATTTTATAAAAGTTCGTAATTTAATAGAACTTAAAATCTTATAATATTATTTTATTATAATCGAAAGCGCTAAGCGATTAAAGTATATATTATTATAGCGTATATTAATTAAATTATTAGTTAGTAAATAGCTAGAGTTAAAGTAAAAAGTATAATATACTCTTTTATATTATTAATTAAAAAGGCTTTAATATCGTATTAAGTATACTCGAATTAAATTAATTATAAGTACTACTAGATTTAGCGATAAAGTAATAATAGTTTAAGATTAACGCTAATAAATTATAGATTAAAGAATTAATTAAATTTACTTAAATTATTAAAGAGAAGTAAAATATATTTATAATTATATATATCGCGATAATATATAGCGAATCGAAAAATAAGTATAATCTAGAGCTCTTTTAGAAGTTATTAAAGTTTAATAACGTTTTTTTTAATAAAAAAGTAGAAGTCTTATCTACGCTTAAGTAGAGAAATTATATTATTAAGATTAAAAGCGATAAAAAGCCGCTATATAGCCTTTTATATAATTTATCTTAAATAAAATTAATAAAGCTATAACGCTATCTAAAGAATTTTCTTTAAAAAAATTAAATTCGTTATTCGACTTTCTTAGTCGAAATATTAATTCTTTTTATTCTTAAAAAGAATAGAAAACTTCGTTTTTATATTAATTATCGAAGTCTAAATATAATAATTATTAAAAATTAATACTCGCTATCTCTAATTATTAAGACTCTAAATCGCTTATATAAATCTAAGATCTTTACGAAGTTAAATCTTAAAAATATTTATTATTAAATTTAAATTAAAGAAGATAATAAGTAGAAAATAGCGTTTCGTAATTATTACGATTACTTTAAATATTTAATTATATCTTTTAAACTCGCTAATATATTAATAATTTTTTAAGCGTATATTAATAAAGCTTTTATAAATTTAATAAATATAATATATATAATATATTTAGATAATATTCTAATTTATAGTACTAATTTAGCGAAGTATTAATAATATATTAAATAAGTATTTAAGCGTTTATATTAATTTTAACTATACGCTAATTTAAAAAATATTAATTCTATATTAAATAAGTTAAGTTTTTAGAGTTTATTATATTTATTAAAGATATCGCGATAGATTAGAAATATATTACTATTATTAAGAAGTAGTTAAAATTAAAAAATTATTAAGATATATAAATCTTTTTAAGCTTTATTAATTTCTATCGGCGATTTATCTATAACTATTTTAGTATAATAATATTACTTATTAACTTACTTAAAGAAAGTAAGAATAATAAGAAATCTAGATTATTAGAGTAAATAGATAACGCTAAGCTAGCGTTTTAGTAACTTTAAAATATTTTTATAATCGCGTTATTTCTATATTATTATAATTTAAATTTAAAGCTATATCTTAAAACTAACGCTTTTAACTTCGATATAGAGGCTATACTTTTATAATTAAATAAAAATAATTACTAGCGATTAATAATATTCTAATTTAAAAAAAT